TGCTGTTGCCCCTTACAACAAGCTTACCTATGCTGTTCGCCCTCTGGCTCCAATTGTCTACAGCGCCTACCCTTATGCTTATGTGAGTATATGGAAGAATTTTGAAAGAAAGTGTGATGAAAAAAAGATCATTTCTTCACTTCTCCTGCACAGAAGGTATAAAATTGGGTTATTTAGTACTGGTGGACATGGTGTTCCAAAAATGTTGACAGAATTGCAAACATTGAAACATATGCAATGAGATACTTCAATCTATTTTTTAATTTAGAACCTAAAGTTGAATAGTGCATTGTTTCTTCAATTATGTTGCAAACAGTAGCAAAGAATTATGTCTTTAATGAGAGCTTTCTTCCCCTAACAGAACATTGCAAACATGTAAATATATTCAATAAGATAGTCCATTCTAGCTTTTTTGCAATTGGACACAAATGTTGAAGAATTAATCTTGTCTTCAATGTTTTTTGCAAGCAGTATTATAATCACTGTTGTGAATGCTTTAATTATTTGAAGAACAATGACATCTGAAAATAATTACATTCACATACAGAAAACAGATACTGCGTTACATTTTGGGGCCAAACCTGATGTTGTCAAAGAAAAAAAAACTGCATGGATGTTATGTATAGGTCTGCTGCATTCAGGTACTATCCAGTCCCAAAGTTGCCTAACTGAAGTGAGCAAATGAGAACATGTGCTTTCTTAATAGTATGGCACTTGGAATTTATTAAACAAAACATAACCTCTTGTGCAGTGACACAATTGATGGAACATGAGGTTTCATTTTGATAGTGCTAGTTACAGTAAATAGTTATTGTGAGCTTTCTGCTGCTGGTAAATCTGTGCCGTGCTGTGTTTTGCAGCAGTAAAACTTTTATTCCAATCATAAGTGCTGGTTATTCAAAAGAAATTTAAATCCAGTCATTATGGAATGGTTTCTTCTCTCAACAGCTAGAGTATTGCATCAGAATTTTTAAACCAGAGCTTGTACTAGTTTTTCTGGCTCATATATGATTGCTGAGCTCCAGGGTGGTTATTGTACTGAACATGCATGTCACAGAAGACTCACAGCATGTACCTTGTTTTTGGTTAAATTTTCGGTATGACTGCAGCCATTTATACTTTAAATCAAAGAACGAGGGACATCTGTCTGAATAATGAGGTAAAACAGAAAAGTATTGATGAGAGAAAGAAAATTTCAACATTTGATATAATGCCAAAGCATTAAAGGGCCAATATTTCAGTGCATCATGATATAAATGGGGGAAAAAACATAAAAGTTCTTCAAGAAAATTCTTCAACGTGGACATATCCACTGGAAAATGACTTTGTTGTATGATTAACTATTCGTTATAACGGGATTCGTTGTGAGGAAATTCCACTATACAGTACTGTAATTCATTACCCGCGTATGCTGTATATATGCAGGCAACAGCAGGTGGAGACAAGTACCCGGCCAACGTGAACCCAGCTGAGTGCGTCAACTACCCGTACTGCCACGACGGAATTTATGGGAACCATGCAGTGGGCACGTTCAAATCCGGCTACACAGGTGTCGTCCCTGTTGTGCACGCCATTGCCAAGAACTACGGGGGCTATGCAACCAAGTACCCGGCTGGGGTGAATCCTGCTGTGTGTCCCAACTACCCCTTCTGCCATTAGCAACCCCCACACAAAGATGAAGGAACCTCACCAAGAAAATATATCGTACTGCCAAATCGGAAGAGTCATCATGTTTGAAAATAATATTTTGAGCATTGCATCTCATCGATTATACAATCAGCATTTATGCATCAGATTACGATTTTCGGTTTGACAACTTGGATTTTTCTTCTGAAGATGTGCTGCAATCCAAGTGTTTTTTTTTTTTAATTCGGCACATAGTTTCAGATTCTTTCTTCTTTTTTTATCGCCAGGCATTGCTTTTTTGATGAAGATGATACAAAGGTGGCATTAAACATGATGGGCTGTCATGCTTTTCTTCAAAAATATTTGGCGTATTTACATTGAATAATATTTCATGAAGTATTTTACCCTGTTTTCATCAAGTATTCAGGCTTATTACACATGAACAGGAAATAATACTGACACAAAAATTACATGAAGGTTCCTTAGACATTATATATGGATGCCTTTTTATTGAGTACAGTCAACCCCCGTCTAACAGACTTGATTTTTGCAAGGGACAAGTCTATTTGACAAAAAGTCCTTTACACCAATTCAATTACATAAAAAATTAAAAATTTCAATTTTCAACACTAATTTTTAACCAAAAGAAGTCTGTTTGGT